AGCTTTGTTTTGACTTTAACAATCAAATCAGACCTCACAACACAAATGTCAGATGACAGTATATTTGTGTACTGCACATTTGGGGGAGAAGATAATCAGGGCCACAAAATGTAGTTCAAACCACTTGGTTCTGTGAAGATGAGGAAACATCACATTTTAGCCTCCCTCAAGAACTAAAACATGAAACTGAAAACTACATTTCACATCATTTCAAGAGAATGAAAACCAGGTTCCAAAGTGAAACAGTGAAAGCCCTTGTTTACAGATAAAAGAATAAGACTGCACAATTGTGATAAGAAACATGCAACATGAAAGTAACTTGTTTCTAAAATGTATTTATGCATCTGTGCATGTATTTCCCCCCTTTTATAGCTCATTGATTGAATAATGTACTGTATGGGTATCTTCCCTAATTATTTCTATTCTTGAGTTTTTTAGTGCATGCAGTAGGCTGTATGTGAGAGGATGGAAGATCTTCTAAATACACTTTGAGTTTTTATTATTGATGAGATAACTAATCCAATAAAAATACAAAATGCAAATGACCCCCCCTCCCCCACTAAAAAAAAAAACATTCAAACGTTTCTTGCCATGTGTTAAATATCGCCAGTGAGTTAACAAAATCCATTATTGAGATTCAGAAGTAAATTACTTTAAAATATTCCATATTATATTGTGAATTGATGTGATTATCTTTCCATCTCCGTTAAGAGTAAAGCTATATAATTAGTTTCCTCTGACAGTAAAATTCCAACTCATAAGCATAATTCTTTTTCACCCACTTTCTATTATACGTTTTTCACTTCCTCTTCTGAGCATCAATATAAACTGGGCAGAAGACGCCTCTCATCCTAGACTTGCTTCACTCCACATCTAATCTCAGCCTCAACATGTCTCTGCTCTCTTATTTACCTAAAACGGCCTGGGCAGTATTTGTTTGCACTGTAAGTTTAATCTAATAACAGAGCATTTGGACTGTATATCTGTAATTATGTGCTTCATATAGGAACCAATGATGGCAGTTTAGCCTAATTCTAGTCTAAAGCTTAATTTAGCCTAAAGACTGCCTACTTCCAGTTTCAAACTGCTTTCAAATCCCTCCACTGTTATTCAGTGGGATCTATATCTGGACAAATTGCTTGTCGTTTCAGAGCAGTTTAGGAACACATTTTCTTGCTGTCCATGACTTTTGATGCATGGTAGCGCTATTAGATGCTGGGTTCATGATGCCAATTCATATATGGTTTAAAAAAAAGTTCCAGAGTCCATTACGGTAAAGAAATGCCCGAGCCAGCACTTGTTCAGGGCAGTCTGAAAATAGACAAAATATACAGCTTGACAAAGGCAGCATTTTCTGTTCCTTCTTTTGCAATTTCTGTCTGTCCAACAAGGCACTTGTGTTTACCATCAAACTATTTTGGTAAACAAGTTTCAGCAAAATGTTCATACACTGATTATGCAACCAGTACTCTAAAATGTCCATCTTAAAACGGGAATCTGAGTCTAAGACTAGCTTTTTATCTTCAAGTAATTCATACTTTAATATAAATACTATTTATATTACTTGCATCATGTCAAATGTTTTACTACTACTAACTTGTGCTAATGTGCTGTTTATAAACTCTGCAAAAAAGAAACATCCCTGTATTTTAAAGATAATTTTGAAAAATCCAAATAAGCTTTACAGATATTTATTGGAAGAGGTGCATTTCTTTTTCTTTTTGGATTGCCTTTTTTTTTAGTTAGTTATTGTTTATATAATTATATAAATTGTTTAGTTATACACACACACACACACACTATGTTGCTTGAACTTTGACATATTGCCTCACAGTATTATTATGCATCAGCCTTAAAAGAAAGCTTTGTTTTGACTTTAACAATCAAATCAGACCTCACAACACAAATGTCAGATGACAGTATATTTGTGTACTGCACATTTGGGGGAGAAGATAATCAGGGCCACAAAATGTAGTTCAAACCACTTGGTTCTGTGAAGATGAGGAAACATCACATTTTAGCCTCCCTCAAGAACTAAAACATGAAACTGAAAACTACATTTCACATCATTTCAAGAGAATGAAAACCAGGTTCCAAAGTGAAACAGTGAAAGCCCTTGTTTACAGATAAAAGAATAAGACTGCACAATTGTGATAAGAAACATGCAACATGAAAGTAACTTGTTTCTAAAATGTATTTATGCATCTGTGCATGTATTTCCCCCCTTTTATAGCTCATTGATTGAATAATGTACTGTATGGGTATCTTCCCTAATTATTTCTATTCTTGAGTTTTTTAGTGCATGCAGTAGGCTGTATGTGAGAGGATGGAAGATCTTCTAAATACACTTTGAGTTTTTATTATTGATGAGATAACTAATCCAATAAAAATACAAAATGCAAATGACCCCCCCTCCCCCACTAAAAAAAAAAACATTCAAACGTTTCTTGCCATGTGTTAAATATCGCCAGTGAGTTAACAAAATCCATTATTGAGATTCAGAAGTAAATTACTTTAAAATATTCCATATTATATTGTGAATTGATGTGATTATCTTTCCATCTCCGTTAAGAGTAAAGCTATATAATTAGTTTCCTCTGACAGTAAAATTCCAACTCATAAGCATAATTCTTTTTCACCCACTTTCTATTATACGTTTTTCACTTCCTCTTCTGAGCATCAATATAAACTGGGCAGAAGACGCCTCTCATCCTAGACTTGCTTCACTCCACATCTAATCTCAGCCTCAACATGTCTCTGCTCTCTTATTTACTGCTGGCAGCTACTGCAGCCTGCTGCTTCACAACCCTCTTTGGTAAGAGTATAGAAATTTATTTTATAAAGTGCAGCATTCTGTGTGGTCAATATTAAGTGGTGTTTTTATACAAAGATGTCTGTACAAACCAAGTGCTTTCGAAGTTTAAAAGGTGGATCTGTTAAAGGGTCAAATGTGCTGTAATTTACTGCAGGTTAATTATGCACTCAACTGTTGTCCTAATTATTTTTTTTACATACTAGCCATTTATTCTGTGTTTTTTTATTTCTGATAGAATGGTTACAACATGTCATTCTAACTGTATCTACATGGCTTCTTTCAGCATTGCCAATGGATGGTGTTGTTGTCAACAGCAACTGTCAGTGTGTGACCACCACCTCATCCATAATCCCATCTCGGCTGTTCCAGAGGATTGAGATCCTGCCTCCGGGAGCACACTGTCGCAAAACTGAGATCTTGTGAGTCATGATGTTTTGCTTCTACTCATCGGTGGCACACACACTTCAATCACAGACATGAGGGAAATGTGCAAGGGGGTGCATGTTTCCTCTGTTCTGACAAACCTCAGCGCTCTCGAAAATAGGTTACATTTTTCATTCATTTGCCCACGCAGCTCTCAGACAAATGTCACTTATCGCCCATACATTTGTGTAAGACAGGCAAATATTGTTGCATATATTTATTAAATCGTTTTAAATTCCTCAGGATTACCAAAAAGGACAACAAAACAGTTTGCATAGACCCTGAAGCACAATGGATCAACAAAGTCCTCACAAGAGTAATGAGGAGGTAGGGTTTAAGTCTTAACTCCCAAAAACAAGACTGTCTAAGATAGAATTGACCTTTTGTTTTATCTTTCTTTGCATTGTCTAATGGCTGTCTTTGTTTCTTTTTCCTACTGTACAGCAAAAGAAATGTAAAGGAAAGTGCCAAACCCACTGCGGCATAAATCAAAGCGGACAAGAACAACTGCTATAAAGACATTTTCCACTTCCTACTTCACAACTATTCTTTTTCGTTAAACAGGCAACTCGTGTGCTGAATGTTATCAGGCTATATTTACGTAGTCACAAATTTGTTATCGTAGGCTGTCTACAAAATCTGTAATTATTCTTTTGAAATAAAACTCACAACCTTCTTCCTTTAAAATGACATCTTTATTGCCTTTAAGGTGGGAGACTAGGACTTTGTTGAGAATTTCTTGTTTTACAAATGGGCCACATGTAGCACCATTTTCATTTGCAAACAGAAAGTTTTTTCCACCAATATAATCATCACCATATATGTTCATAGACTAAACAAGATTTACAAAATGTGTATTCCTCAGCGGAGGATAAACTGCATGGAAAAAAACTCCCAAAGTCAATGAGAAAATCCAGTGAATAAGCCATCATCTCATTGGGAAAATGCTATTTTTTTGGATATTCTAATCATTGTTTCTCAAAGTTCTTAGCAAAACAATACTTTACATCATCTTACAATTATGCAAGTCCTTCATTAATTTGAATTTCTTATCAAGACTGACCTCAAACCCTGGTGCCATAATCCATATTCAATGAAAGACTACTGCTATTTTCCACATGCTTTTATTACTAGTTTAAAAATACTGCATGTTCATCAATCTGGATTAAAATAGCTGGTCATTCAGACCCTTTGCCATGAATAAATATGTTCAGCTTGTTCAGTGGGAATTTCTGCAAGGAGAACACATGTATCCACCAGAAAACAAAACTACTGCTACCACTAAACAATGTTGATTGTAAATTGACTTGCTTACAGTTATAAAAACATTATAACTGTATCACAGCCACTTAAGTAGTCACCATGTCTCTCTGGTGAAGAGAAGAGATGGACAGATGAATGGATGAGTGGATGGAAGGGTGCAGGGATGGATGCTGGTGCTGGCTCACTCTGTAAGCGTCTTGCTTTCACAGGCAGTACTGCTGTAGAAAAGATGGTTCAGACTAGGCACAGTTTGATCAAAGAGGAATGCTCTACTTATCAATTTCTGCAAAAGTGACAAAAAGTGAAAGCACTGATGCTCAAAAGTGTTCCACTTTTAGAAATGATGCAATGTCGAATTTGCACAGCATTGCGTGATTAACCTGATTAAATACTTTTGTAAATAAATACTTCGGTTTTGCTGACTAAAAATCTAAAATGTGAAGGTGTTGCACGTATCCAAACCAAATATGTCATTAAATTGAACAGGGATGCGAGTTAATCAGTGTGGTTATTGTTTATTTTCTGAGGTCTGATGGCAGTAAGTGATAAGTAGCATGCAGCACACATAGTCCAACACTAAATAGTCCACTTCAGCACCTCTGAGCTTCCTTTTGAAACGTATTACTCACACCAGCTCAACACAGAACAAGGCACAGTCTGCTGAAGCATGTTAGGGAAGTTATAGCTTTGTACAAAAAAGACATTAAGTGAGCCTGGATATGTCGAATAGACAAATACGATCAACAACCTAAGCTCCTCATTGGTTAAACATCACAAAATGCTCCAGGATTTTAACTCAAGACCTTGCTTTATACATTTTGATGATTGATATTTTTTTAGTTTATAAAAGTCTGAATTCATGCAGGGAAATGTTCTCACAGTAGTCATGTGACAGACAACACTAATGCCACTGACATCAAATAAATGCTTTAGAAAATGTAATAGTTTGCCCAAATTCATTCAGTTTAAGACTATAAATACACTACACAACTTTTACCACGGTTTGCACTCTTGACAAGTTGACACTAGCTGCCTAAAGTCAGAGCAAATGCAGATTTGAGTTGACAGATTTCACAGAAAATCACAGTGTGGGCACAGACTTTTTTCTTTTTTTTCCGCTTCGGACTATGAACTATGTCCAGTCGGACAACATCAAAAATGTCTGAGATGATTTTACAACGCATATTGTTTTAACTGGTTATTCGGCTCCTAGCAATGACAGATATGTTTCTGTGTTAGTTTGTGTAGCGTATTACAGCTTTTAGAAAAATTTAGCGAAAATTGTGTTTTAGCTTGCCAACCTTGCAAACCATAAATGTGTAGATATAACAGTGAGAACAGCCTTTAACTACAGAAACGCTCTCGAATCGTATAGTTGTGCCAAACAAATAAAATGAAAGAATCATGTCATTTTTCTCTTCTCCAACAAATCACAAAATGACATTTATAAATTAACATTCATCCTGTACCGATGCAGCTGGCAAGCCATTAGCATTGAAACAAATGTGAAACAGGACTAAGCTGAATTAGCCTGAGTTAAAGGGATAGTTCACCCAAAAATGAAAACTGTTCCACAGAAGAAACAAAGTCATACAGGTTTGGAACACCATAAGGGTGAGTAAAATGACCGTATTTTCATTTTTGGGCAAACTATGCCTTAAACCCCTAGGTAGTCTTCTGTAGCAATTATAAATTGTACCAATAACGTCAACCATCTACCAATCAAGAGATTCTCGCTGACATCATGAGATCACTGAGGCAGGGAGGACTTGTATTGTGTAAATATACATCAGTACTGTGATGTGATTTAGATGCTGATGCAAGCAGCAAGAGAAAACCGCACAGCTGGGTTATAATCAGTAGGGCTGGGATCCTCTTTAATAGTGTACATTTTTGACCAAAAGACAAGTTTGCATAATACTTTACATTGCACTATTAAGAATTTTCAATTAAAAATAGATATTAACTAATATTTGATTGCATAATAAAGAGACAAATGGGGTATTATTGTACTGGGAAATTCACAGATTTAAATGCTGTCAATGATTTCTTGTCAAATTTATGAGATGCTGAAGGGGAATTTAAAAGAGGATGCAAACTGAAACATCTTTTTTGTAATACTCTTGCTGACATTGTTATGCTACATGATCTGTCTTCGCTTAAGTTACACATTTCTACCATCCAAATACTGACACATGGCTTACACAATCTCACATTTAGACTCGATTTCCCTGAAAGCAGCATTTGTTTGGTACCAAACAGAGAATCCCAACCCTAATTTGGTATTAAGCTTTTGTTTTCATGTTGGAAAATGTAATAAGATCATATAATCGTGTGCAAAGTTTAAAAAAGGAACAAAGTAGGTGAGTACTTCACTCCTTAATGTGTGTGCCTATATTTGTAGGAGCTCATCATTCGTCCATGGTTTGGGGAAGGGGGGCTGCACTACCTGTGGACAGGCAGGTGCAGCCCGTTGAGGGGGGGTAAAGGCGGGTGGTACTCCAGCTGAGCCAGAAGGGAAAAGTGATCGGAGGGGATGTGCGGGTGGGGGCAGCCAGTTATGTTGTTGTCCTTCAGCCACTGAGTCTCCAGTGGACCCAGAATGCCCAGAACACGCATCTGTGTCTTAGAGAAGAAGATGTAGTCAATAACGCCCTACAAAATAGGAGAAAGCAGGTTTCAAAAATGGGTAAAAAAAAAAAATTAAAAAAAAGATAATAAAAATCTGTGACAATAATATAAAATTAGGAGCCAGCAGCTCCTAGTGCACTGGGGTTTCAGTGCAATACAATAACAAAGCAAATCACAATTCACTAAAACCGTGAAACCTAAATATATCTGAATTATGTATCTCCTCACCTTGAAGTCATAAGTGTAGTTGGTGTAGGGCATGAGATTCCCCTCGTAGGCACTCTTCAGCTGGAAACTGTGCGTGATACTGCCATCGGGCTTTCCGTTTTTGCCGTTGCAACTGAAGTTGGTTAAGCAATCACTGTAACGCAGTTCCTTAAAGTCTTTGTGATTTTCTGCAACTCCACCATTACTTAGATATTCCACCACACCTGTGAAAGGCCAGGAAACCTAGTAATGCTGAGACAAGAGCTTCATGCCGAATCTAAATTTTATGTCCATATTTCTCTTAGGAATGACATTAAAGGGGTCATATGATGCGATTTCAATTTTCCTTTCTCTTTGAAGTGTTACAAGCTCTTGGTGCATAAAGAAGATCTGTAAAGTTGCAAAGACTAAAGTTTCAAATCCAAAGAGATATTCTTTATAAAAGTTAAGTCAACCACGCCTACCTAAAACGCCTCGTTCTAACACGCCTAGAGATGGGTATCGTTAAGGTTTTAACGGTATTAGTACTCTTACCGATACTGCTTATCAATTCGGTACTTTAACGGTATTCTTATCAGTACTTTTTGTTATATATATATATATGACAAATTAAGAGCTGAATTAACATTGCTTTATATTCTGAAATGTAAAACAAATATTTAATGAAATGAATATAAAACATCAATTTGTAAATGCACCCGTGTGCAGGCATTTTTAGTGTTTTATACATAAGATAAGATACAGTAAGAACATGAACAAAGAAACAAAGTGAAACAAACTGACAAATACAATAAAACAAATATACAAATGAAATGAAATAAACAGTGCTGTCATTTTTCCATGAAGTTCTACTAACATTACTGTTCAGGTAAGTAATAGCCTACAAAAAAAATCTAAAAGTAATCAAATGTAAATGAACACTGCATAGTTTTCAGTGTATGTATTGATAGATTAATGCTTATTAAAGCTATAACGTTATTCAGATTAAGAGCAGATTTGCATTTTGATGGCCCAAGCGCCAGTCTGTCACTTTAAGACAAAATATTGACACACATCGGATTTTCTCCCAACTGTTCTCCTCCACGTAAGACATAAAATGTGTTTAAGTAAATACTCTCCAAGCC